TGAGCCCCAAGAAAGGTTTCATTGTGCACGGGGAGGATCCCCTGAGAGGGAAAAGCCATTAGCAAGTTCATGAATCAGAGTTCTGTTTTTAGTTCTTTTGTGAAATAGACTCATTTCTTAGCTCAAGAAAATCCCTATGCCTAGATCATTCTTCCTAAGTATGTATTAAGGATGAATCAAATCACACCTTCAGAAGTGCCAGTTCCCAGGTGAAGGAAGACAGGAGGCTCAGCTCCTTCCATAGACACTGCAATGCTGCTTCTAGTGACAGGTGATCATTTCCCAACACACACCCAGCACAATTTCATACCAGCACAGATTGTTTTCTTGTGTTGTTGTATCTAGATTCAGATGTCTGCAATGTTCATATGGGGCTGTTCATTTACTTAACTTGTATTGGAGCAACTACATTACATTTTCATGATAAACAATTACATTACATTTTCATGATAAACAATAAAGAAGATATTTACATATTGTATAAATGTTTTAGAGAAAGGGAGGCTATGTCAGAAATGAACCTGGGATTTAGTTTTGAAGAGGGCAGGTTGGTGAGGGAAGTTCCCTCGGAAGAAGTAGTATTTCAATGGATATTTCAAAGATGGGAATGCAGCAGCCATGCTAACAAGCAAGGGGAGAGCATTCTGAGCAGGTAAGTATCAAAGCCCTGAGCTATACTGGTCATGGATGTCGAAGGATCATAAATAAGACCACATATAAGAGAAGTACAAGGTGATGTTGGAGAAGAAGCAAGAGATAAGGTCTTAGGGGGTGAGCTGTTTAGATTTTGTCTTAAGGGTCATGTGAAGTCAGTGACAGTTCATAAGTAGAGGAGAGAGATGAGGGCAAAGACCAGGAAATCGCAGTTGTCTGGGGAAGGGGTGGTGGTGAGTTGGATTAGGGTAATGAAAAGAGATTAAAGACAGAGTGGGGAGTTCAGGGAGCATCAGGGTGGTGATTTTAGGAGATATAAGCAGCAGGAATTGATAATCCATAAGCAATACCAGGTTTGGAGTTGGAGCAACTAGTGGTGCTATTGATTGAGAAAGGTAACATGAAGGGTTAAACAATGGGATATATCAAGACCTCATTTTTACATGTTAAACTGGAGAGAAGAACTAGACGTGCAAATGAAGACATCAATGAGGCAATTGTTTATTCAAGCCTGGAATGGGGACAAGAAATCTATAATTATGAATTAATTTAAAAATCAAGAAAAACTTAAATCCATTACACTAAAGCCTTCAAGAAAGATAATATAGACACCTGGATGTATGTACCAATTGAGATAAGTGCACAGCATGGTACATAATTTGATGACATTGATATTCTTAACTCAGCCCCAGGCCCTAGAATGTACTTATCCCAGGTATATAAATGATTAGTCTACCCTATTTTTTTTAAAGAGAGAGAGAGAGAGAGAATTTCAATATTTATTTTTCAGTTTTTGGCGGACACAGCATCTTTGTATGTGGTGCTAAAGTTCGAACCCGGGCCGCACGCATGCCAGGTAAGCGCGCTACCGCTTGAGCCACATCCACAGCCCTAGTCTACCCTATTTTCCAGGCTTCTTTTTGTTACCTTTAGTACTTTTCTGTGTGCACGTGTGTGTGTGTGTGTGTGTGGTGTGTGTGTGCGCACGCCCGCACGCGCATGTGCACACGCACTGGTCATTATCCTGGCTGTCAAACCCCTAAAGTTGTGTTCTGGGAGAGGAAGACAGTGGTTATAGTCTCAGCTTCATTATTTCAAGGGCTCTGTGGGAATGTTTTTTCTCTCTGCCTCCTACCCACAGGCCCCTGCAGTAAGAATGGGTAGCACATGGTCAGATCCCTGGCCACTTGCTGAGTGATCACCTGTGCATGAGGACACGC